AAAATCTTTTACATGAATAATTGCATGTGATAGTTCACAATTTTGTTTTCTTATCTTATTGAATGAGACCCTGCTTCGTCATTATTTTTATTGACTAAATAAAACGGTTATAATTCGATTGACATATTTTAGCAAACTTTTTTAATATTATTCATATTATCTTCCCTTTTTCAGGAAAATAGTTTTCATATGCTTTTTTCTACTTGATCTAATTAATTATAATTATTTTCGTGAGTTATAAATATATATATTAAAATTCAAATTTTGGTCAAATTTTAGTTTTTTTTTTTTTTTTTTTCATTCAAATACTATTATATTTTTCACGAACCATTACAAACATATGGTGCGCAATCTGATTTAGATTTCAATAATCTTAAAAGATAATTTAAAAACATTAAAAAAATTGGTAAATTATATTTTATTTTTTACTAAAGAAATAAATTGATTTAAATTAAAGAGTTATATTATGTATAATTAGCGATAGTTTTGGCCTTCAGGTCACATTTAATTCTAAAATAATTTTTGTCACTACAAGAAAATAGAGTTCTAGTGAAGAATTTTTTTGTCACTATGTTGTCACTATATCTACTGTCACTATATCTACAGTTGTTGTCACTATATCTACAACAATTGTAGATATAGTGACAATAATTTTAGATATAGTGACAACAATTGTAGATATACCGACAGTAAATATAGCGACAACAATTGTAGATATAGTGACAAAAAAAATCTTCACTACAACTCTATTTTTCTTGTAGTGTGTAAAATATCAATCAATTAATGTGTAGTAAACCACATAAAATAATCTTAAGTTCATAACAACAAATCCTTTAAATTTCCTCAAATATGTGATGTAGATGAACCATAATATTATACAACAAGTTGAATTAAACATATATATAAACATATAAAATTGTTCAAATTTTCGTCTAAAAATTTTGTTACTACATATAATTTTTTATTCATTTGAAGTTGTATTTGATAATTTATCATAAAATTTATTGATTAATACTTATTAAGCTGAAATGTCAGTTCACATAAATTCTTGTATGAGACCGAATAGCCATTAGGCGGATTGATCCTTCATACTTTTCTTTTAACAAAACTATATAAGTATGCAATAAAATATCAAACTTATATTTATGTTGTTTTTTAAAGTATGACGATTCAGTTCGAGCGTAGTATACTTTTTGGAAATGTATGAATTTTTAATCATTAGGTCAGCCTAACAATTAATTTTATTATACTTTTTTTTATTATAATTATGAAAAAAATCATTAAAAATACAAAACATGTTAGGTTATCTATATTAATGTTGCTAACCTATCCTCCCTATATCCTCCCTATATATAATTCCAGAATGCGCTGAGCCTACGTGGCTGTTTCTGGTGCTTCGGAATCCTATTTGGCGAAGAATCATGCTTCGTAATTAGGTTTGGATAAATAATATTGATATATTAATAATTAATAATCTAGGTTCGGGTATTCCATAAATATTATTTAGCTAATTTAGGTATTTTAATATCACTTTTACTAATATAACCCTTTAATTCTTTATAATTTTACATAGTGAGACACTAAGTGACTAATATATCCCTGAATTTTGATTTGTTTCCTTCAATAAGCTATTGAATTATAAATGTATTTTAAAAGTTGATAACTTTTGTATTTCTTATCGGTTTTACATATATAATATATCAAATTAATCATCTTTTGATGGACTTCGATTTGACATCCATATTGTATATATATGAAATAAATAAATTATATTTATATTTATAATAATAATAAATGATAATATTTATTGAAATTCATTAGAAAAATTAAATTATTTTTTAATTGATATATTTATATGTAATTAGTTATATATTGTAAGTTTAAAAAAATTAGTATAATATAACACAAGTAAGTTGCACAAATAAAAAGTGTCATAATAAATATATAATAATATATATATTCTTATAAAAGGTATTTAAATTTTCAAACTACTTTTTCTCATTAATTTTAGATTTTAAGAAAAAAAATTAGCAAGTACCCGTGTAATACACGGGTGTTGTACTAGTTCTTACATTATTACATGACCTTTATTAGTTTAACCGCATCTTTTGGTTAAAATTTATTTTATAATTAATTATTTTTATTGTATATAAATGATCTATTTTTCAAAATATTAATTTTTTGAAGTAATTTAATTATAAGAAATAACATTTTAACTATTGCATTAATTGTTTTTTAATAAATAAATAAATAGGGAATTTTAAATTAATACTAACTTTTTTCTCAAATTTTTGAAGTTTCAGAAAATATATATATACATTTAAGTAAAACAATTCTTAAAACACGTATTTAAGTCAAAATGAGAATTATTTTTTACACCAACAAAAAAAAAAAAGAACAAAAATGACTACTTTGGATGAATAAAAATATTTATGAAACACAAAAAGATCTTTAAAAACATAGACATATACTGAAACGGTAATTATCTTTTCCAAAAACATTTATAAAGAGTAGGAGGTAGTAATAACAGTAATATAAGACAAAATAGATAAGTAGAAGAAGTGTTAGGGGTTAGGATAATCGCTTCTAGTTCCAACGCAAATACCTGGCAATCAATTATTTGGTTAAGAAGATTCGACTAATCTACACGTCTACAGGTTTATATCAGAGAACAAACATAGACGACAAATTGGCGAAGCAAATAACAGGCAATATAATGATGAACAAGCCTACCCCATACGAGCCTAGGTCGATCAACTTCTCCTCTTTCGGTTCTATAAGTTGTTTAACGTCTAAGGTTGTTTAACTAGATTAGATGTGATCAATCGATTAACCCCTAAGAATCGAGCAACCTGGACAAAATGAACAACAAAAAAGCCCGATAATCACAAGAACAAGAACAGTCATCTTCTATCCCTAGCGAATTGAAATTTAGCTCCTCATCTCGGAAATAACACAATCTATTCAACCGTATAGTTTAAATCCATTGACAAAATGAAATGGAAAACTTAATATTAAATTGAAGTTGGATGTCAATCGGTGATTACAAACCAAATTCACAAGTCGATTTGAAACGTATAATTCCTACGGAGTGCGCTTATTGATGGTAAGAACTAAAAATGCGG